CCATGCCTGAGTCCTATGAGAATAGCCCTGTCCTAAACCCATATTAATATGAGTTTAGACCTGCACACCAATCAACCTTGCTGCAGATTGGCGTGCAGGCCTGAACACCAATCTGCTTTGATGTGTGGGCTTGCACACCAATCTGCAAGTGGCATGCAGATTGGTGTGCACAAGGGGGGTTGGCTTGCGCTTATCAACCCCCCTGCAGGCCATCTCTAGCCTAGAGATACCCGGATACCTGCCAGGAATTTGAGGAAAAGGGGACATCCACCAGCGGATAGCGGGTATCTGTAACAGATACCCTGCGTCCATCTCTAGTTGTTGGTGCATTGGGTGGCTAGTGAAAGAGAGGGTTGGTGTTGATGTTTTGAAAAGATGATAGAGTGATAGAACAAAAAAAGCTCAGGAGAAATGGATGGAAAGCAAACAGGATATTAGGTAGTGAAGAATCACAGATTGAAATTGGAGCTTATAGCTACCATGTGTGCGCAGAAAATCTGTTTGGGTTGCTACATCTAAACTATGAGTTGCTACTGTGGTGCTGTAGCAACTGAGTTTTACCTTCCACAGCGCCAGTACATATGCTCTTAGTGGGCTATCAGCAGTGTCACACTGACACTACGCTGTGTTGCTTTGCTTTTCACATAAAAAACACGTCAAAAAAGGGTGTAAAACTGTGTATAGGCCACATATTTTTTACTTTATCCCCTCAGTATTGTTTGAAATAAATCCAAAAAAAATATAAAAGTGTTTCAGAAGTGGTGGAATTATAAACCCGCCCACATGTTTGTATGTAGTAATACAGCAATAAGCACGATAAATGGCTGTGTGGGCTTGGATCGGCTCTGTAGAAGTGGACGAGACTGGCTTCCCAACACATCAAGCAGCAACTGCCAGTTTGCCCAAGGATGCATCCCCCAAAGATTGACAGCTCAATCTCGTACCTGGCACTTTGGTATTGGTACCTTTCCCAGCAACAAGAAGATGACAATACTGTCTACATACGAGCCAGCCGAGTCGCCTTCAAGCGGCCTGTCCGTTGGGAACCATGGAATGATACGAGGATCCCCATGGTCCGATTTGTCGAATTCTTCCGCATGACCGTTGAGGATTTTCGATGGCTGTCAGATCAGCTTTCCCCCGAGTTGCAACAGGACCCATTACGTCGAGGGGACCCTTTATCGGTTGAAGCACAAGTAGCGGTGGGCCTCTATCGACTGGCGCATGGGGTGTGTTATGTCACTATTGGACACGTGTTCAATATCGGTAAAGAAACAGCGGAGAAGGCATCAGGCCGATTTGTGAATGCAGTACTGAGAATCTTACGCGACCGGACCGTTGGGTATGTATGACCCACTTACCTGTTCTTGATGCCCTCAGCTGACATCCCCTATCTGCTCAGTTATCCTCCGCTGAACCGTCCGGACTTATGGGATGAAATAAAAGCCTCCTTTGAACAGCGACATGGTATTCCAAACATCGTCGGGGCCATTGATGGGACCCACATTCCCGTGGCCATGCCCCCAGCAGATAACTGGAAAGGTTACATAAATAGGAAGAGCTGGCCTTCAATAGTTTTTCAGTGTGTGGTGGATGGGGATGGCAATTTCCGAAACGTTGAGTGATGTGGCTTTGCTATCTTTTGCTATCTCGACCAGCCTGGGCTGACATATTCTGCCTCTCAGGTTAGCGGTGGTGGGCCAGGGTCAATGCATGACACCAGGGTTTTCAGGCGATCCCGACTCGGTCAGAGCATGACACCGGGAACAGGGGCTGCCCGAATTATTCCGGCGGGATCTTATCTGATAGGCGATGCCGGTTACCCAAGCAATGTTGACATATTGGTTCCATACCCCTTGGTGGCCACTGAGCCAAATGAATGGTTCAATTTTATCCAATCGTCGACTCGCATATGTGTAGAACAAGCCTTTGGTCGATTGAAGAACCAATTCCGTATCCTCCGGTCCGCCCAGAACGCCAGGCCGTTTCGCGCAAGGAACAACACTTTTGTGTGTATGATCCTCCACAACATCCTCAACCGACGGGGTACTCTGTATCTCCATGTTTGGGATGAGGGACAAGATGCCCATGAGCGTCGCTTTCCGGTGCCGCCGTTCAACCCCGAGGCTGGTATCGAGGAGGCCATCCCTCTCAATGATGTCAACCGTGTCTCAATGTGGGTTAGACGTGATATTATCCGTGATGTGTTGTACATTGCTTAGTTAGAGTGCTCGGTCAAGATTTGATCTCACGAGGCCTCAATCGCTTGTATTTACTAAGCCATTGCATATAATCAAAGCCATAGCATATAATCAAATCAGATATTTAGGAATGCTGATTATTCAACATAAAGAATCTCACTAATGACATAAAGGAGGGAGTCACAAAGTGAGATGAGGTGAGAAACAAGCAAGTCAGATGCAACAAGAATCATAAGCCGGTAAATCTTTGAGTTACACCAACCAAGGGGGCAAATCCCTCATGGATTACCAGCCCCCTTGCCCATTAGGCCAGCAAACATCGCCATTTGTGCTGCCTGAGCTGCCACCTGAGCCGCCGCAAGCCTCTCCTGATTTGCCTCGTAGCGACGCGTCTCCTCGCGCCGGTCGGCCTCCCTCTCTGCAGCCCGCTCGGCAGCACGATCCGCCGCGGCCTCTCGATTGAATCGGGCCTGTTCGCGAGCGTCCTCGCGCTCTTGCTTGGCCTGGAGCAGTTGGTCCTGGCGAATCTGTTCTTTCAGTTCGGCCTTTTCTTCCGCAATGCGCCGTTCGTCGGCTCGGTTCGCCTCTGCGCGCTGTCGCTCATCCATGGCCCACTGAGATGATGCCTCCTGCGACTTGTGCATCATGAGTAGCATGTTGTTCGCGGCGGAGTCCTCCTTTTTCGGGGCTTCTTCGGTCCGACCGCGCCGGCGAGGAGGGTAGCTATAGCAACAGGTGGGCGTGTGACAGTTGGTTTCTTGGTTGCCATTGCAGGACTTGGAGCTCCCCCCTTAGGGGCCGGCGGCGCCTTGGGTTTAGCTGCCGCCGCGGATGAGGAGCTGGGAATCCCTTGGGCCCTTGGGGGGACCGGCAAGACCAGGGCTTCAGGGAGGGGGGACGAGGAGTCGAGGGCTCTTTCTTCTGCGGTTAAGGGGGTCCTCTCGCGTCGACCTCGCTTCTTGGGCCTGGGGTCACTGGCGGGTGAATCACGGGTGGTGTTGATATTGCAATCGGCCCCGGTGGGCTCATCGGCCCCACTCTCTTCAGATGGGGCCTCAGATACGCTAATGTCGTCGGCAAGTAGATCCTCAATGTTGTCGTCCAACTCTCCTTGTCCGACACCATTGGCAGCTGGATTACTGGCATTCATGTCTAACAGAATGTCATAGAGCTGGAGGACCCGACTTCAGTGGCCCGCTTGGCACAGAAACGACAACCAAAGGAAGATGAATCACTTACCCGATGTGGTAATCCAAATTGGATTAAAGCCCCAAGGAGCCCACCACTGCCTGATCGATCGAGGTAGTCTTTGACCTCCTACATTTGGACCAGTGGTCAGCATCCAATCATCTTACAGCAAGAAAGCATGATCCCTCAACATACCCTATATGTCCCAACCAGCGCCCGATATCGCCTGAGGAGCGCCTCATTCTCTATGCCAACCAGAAGAGGGAAGGCATCCTTCCGATCATCGTTTGTTTCAAAGAACTTCTTGAAAGGAACAAATCCAGGGCGCTTTGATTCCTCATCGTACTCATCTTTGACCATGCGGACAAAGTGAAGGAGCTCAAGCGATGATTCCTCGGTCCACTTGAGCCGAGCCGCAGCTGATGCCTTCTCTTTCGCTTTGACTATATTCTGTGCCGCCTTTTGTGTCGCTTTGACCCGTGCCTCAG